CACAAGTTACAAATACCCGATCGTCCACCGTTCTGTGTTTGGAGTGAATTCAGCGGGCATGTTCAACCATCGAGCGTGTAGGCCGAGAAACCCGGCATGTGCACACCGAGGCCAAAAGCTTTGAGCCGTCAATGTCACTGCGTCAAGATGATGAGGGACCCCTCGCCCGTCAACCCTTTTAGCATACCTTTATGAGTTATGGCAAATTCGCCAAGTGAGATGACCATTTGGTCGAACATTGGCTTACAGGAGAACGGTGACTCAGGGGCTGGACATCCATCGACACATGGCAGGAAGCCCAGATTCCTCTGAGATAAAAGGAGGAACCCGCAGGCTTGCATAGTGCAACGGAAGATGCTGAGAGACGCAACGATACTTAGAGCTGTAAAGTAGTGCAACCAACAACAACGGGGTTCAAGTAGAGGATCTAAACATGAAGCTGCGCCAAATCAGATTGCCCAAGTTGGGTACTGTGCCGAGATCGCAATACCGTCGCTTCAGCAGACCGCATGGATGACTTGCAGGACAGAATTGCCTACTGATTCCCATATCCAAGTCTCACCGTGCTTGACCTTGAGCAGTCGATTTCTTAATAATTGGTCATCTCCTTGTTAGCGCTAGGCCTTGAGGGAATCATACTGGCTTCCTAGCCTGACCCGTTGACGAAGACTGGGGCATGAGCAGGCATTCAGGAGTGCCATGTGCGTTTTCTTGCCCATCAAATATACAACTAGAATAGTCAACTTATGGTTTCGGTGCTTTCTTCCGTGGTTTCTCGCCCCCATAGTGCCCAGATGCTCTGTTCGTATTCTCGCCAGCGGCATGGTTACTCCGCACTAGAAGCTATCACGATAGAACTAGGCTCAAAACCCGAGTTTTGCCCTGCCATTTTTCTTCCCGGCACCAATATCTGCCTCTCAGTGTCATCCCAAATTTCTTTGGCACGTGAATCCCGACTTTTCCGTGGGAATTTCTCTTCGTGGTGTTACAAAGGCTCCTTGCTGTTGGTTGGCTGCATTTTGGGTTTGGCTGATTTCCATATTCTCCGTGGAATTTTATACTCCAAGTATTAACCATTAACTGCCCACGTTGTCCATACCAAATGCCTGATTCTCCGCGGAAAACTTTCTTCTGGGGGGTTGGCCCTTGATCTGATTCCCCTCCCCGTCAAGGCTGGGCCATCTTGCTTCGCTTACTTAGCTTGGAGTGAAATCCCGAGTTTTCCATAGCGATCTACGGTATACGTACTCTCGAAATGATTATGTTTGGGACCTGGCCCTTGGGGGTAAAAATGCCCGGTTTCTTCATGTTTTTATCCCCTCGATTCGCCAACATCCCGTACCGGAAGCACAAGTGCAGACCTTGCCCTAAAAAAGAGGCCACTGTATTAATTGGGATACAATGCTATGATGCGTTGATAATCTGTTTTTTGTTATACTCAAAACCCGGCCCTCGATGGGATAACCGAGCCAGAAGACCGAGTCTATTCCCATTGTCTTGGCCTTCCTTTGGATGGACCCATTCGTCAGAGTCAGCTCGCATTCGGCCAGGAGGGAATGCTCATATGTTGCCTACTCCTCCAACCTGCCCTTTGTCCTGTTCTTCCTCTTCCTTGTCAACTCACCACAGCTTCTGCTGAGGTGGGCTCAGCCTTGTGGAGTGACCGCAGACACCTGCTGTCTGCGTGACGATAGCTCGAGCTGTCCTCACTTCCCACCCGGTTCATGACCTGAAGGCAATCATGTCTGCTTTGAGTCTCGAGGGTTGCTCTCGCTGCCCTACATGGCCATGTGTACTCCCGACTATGCATTGGCCCTGGTTTGCTCTTGGACTTACGTCGGCGTTTATTCCCAAGCTGAGTTCCTCTTGCTTCGCCCCAAGGGAGACTCCGTGCCCTTTGAAGTCTCCCTTGTTTGAGTCCTGAGGTTCTCGCTTCATTAGCTGTACGAGTTTGTACTTGCATTATCTGCATAGTTATTTGTTTGTCTTGATGGGCCAGGTTTGCGCTTGGCCGGTCGAACAAAGAAGACTACAGAAACACTAACCACCACCAAACACCATTTATACAAGTTTATATTTGAGCACATAAATCCATTTCCTTGATGAAACATATCAAATTCATTTCTGAGATGTCAAATGTCTCCAGGTTCTTGCCTCATGGAACCTTATGAGCGAGAACGCCGCGGATTTACGTATGATCGGTGGGTACTCTAGTTGTCAATTAATTAGGCATCCCTTTCGGGCTTGTCTTTGTATGTGTAACGTTGAGATTTGCCCACTAAAATGGCGATGCGGGAGGAGTTGTTGCACACCTGATCTGAGCCCCCCTGCCCCATGCCAGGGTCTGCATCTTTCAACATGTGGCCGCCATTTTATGACGGGTGATTTGGATATTATGCTGTACCTCGCCTGGCTACATATGTCACCAATGGGTAAAGAAGACTGGCTGTGAGGGCCATTCCCTCGCCAGTCAGCCTGGGACGGTGCATTATCACGACCCAGTAGACATCAGGGCTATCAAAGTGCGCCCGAGCAGTAAGGAAACAGGAACTTCCAGGAAGACGGGGAGAAGATTGACAATTTTGATTCCATGAACGCCCTGGCTATGGACGCTGGGTTGACTGGTCAGCTTCTGGTTCCTGTCTAGGCGCGGCGTCTCCCGTTGGCTTACCTGGTATGTATTTTTCTTCTACTGACAAGTGCCGCTGGATAGGGTCGAAAGCAGATAAACGTGATGAGAAGAGTAGCAAGAATGCTCGGCGGCTCGGAGCGTACTCTGAGGACCATCAGCCTCTCCACAGACTCCAAGTGTCCTTAACCGATCATCGACGTCGTCGGGGAACCGAAGTATCTCCAGGGGCAGCTGGAGCACGGCCAGGCCAACCGCTGATCTGCAGCGAAGCCCGTTGCCAGAGCGGTCAACGACGAGCGTAGTTTAGTCGGAGTCGACACCGGAAGCTCCATATCCGGCGCAAACTCCAGACCGGCTCTGGGTCTGGGGTCGTCTCAATGGAACTCGACTAGAGCCCCGTCTACGACATCTTCCAGAGCGCGGACTCTGCAGTCGGGAATTTCTGCCTTCTCGGCTGGCATTTGAGCAGCAACTCTTGTGTCTGGACTCCCTTACTAGTTGGCGGATGGTCACTGTTATGCGTCGGTCTTTTGATGGCATAATTGTCTTCGTTTTGGATAGTTGATAAGGAGTGCTCTGTTCCCTCATGCTTGTTGTAGGTGGCAGAGTACGGGATCAGCGTGATGGGAGCTTCTGTCTCCAATATACCGGTGATAAAGACTATATATGTACGTATGACGAGGCACATACCTATGCATCTACATTAAACATAGTCATGTTTTTTCATACCATATCCTTACTACAGCGGTCAATAACAACCTTTAGAGACAAGGATCACTATCATCAACCTAGTTTTCCCACGCCCTTTCCAACGACCAAGCCGTCCAAGCTCCTGTCGATGGATGATCCTACTTCTAGTCCTCCCGATGCCCTCCCAGCTGGCACTCCAGCTCATGTTTCTACTTCTTGTCCTCCTTCTTCTACCACTTCTACTACTCGTAAAACGATCGACCTCCTCCTGCGGAAACACTCTAGGCTCGTTCGGATGTTTGGAGTGGGAAAGGCGTTGACCGTGAGAATTAGCCTGCGCCTAGACCGACATGACATGAACGTCGAGTAATTCTTAGTGGGGAGGAGATTGGGTGTCAATCGGGAAGCGGTCGGGCGACGTGAAGTGTTGTCGTCTCTGCGAGCCATTCTCGCCGTGGAATGGAATGTGCTGTTGCTCTATGATAGGTAAGAGGAGAGGGAGCCTTTGGACCACTCTGTCCAGGGACCGTCAAGTCCAAAGTGTTGGCATATGGTCGTAGAGGGCATCTAGAATCTGGTTTGGACTATATCTCCGCCCCAGCAGCTCCCGCAGTCGGATGTTGTTGTCTGAAATTAGGGTTTGTGGGAGTCAAGCGGGCGGCGCCGTTGGCAAGACGATACATCTCGTGCTGGGGTTGTTGTCGAAGCCCGGGCTGCTTGCACGCATCTTGGTGGCCACGGTATTGCCAGGACGAAGGCTTCGGGGACTGGGGGTATGGTGGTCAAAGGTTGTCAGGAAGAGAATTAGGTATCTGGAATTTGTGCTCCTGACCCTCGAAACCGACTTGATTGCCGGAGGATGCGTTGTCAGCTTGGGCAATGTCTTCTTTGGCATTCTCTACTGATCGCAGGCTAGAAAATTGACTTTGGTAGGCAGGGGGGCACATGGAATTATCTGCAGTGGCTTGCCAGGGTCTTAATTATCCTTTCGCTCCATATAAAGTCGAGTGGTCGTAGATAATCTGACAAGCGAATCACTATCGACGGGTGGGCTGGGGGCAGTATAGTCCAGATCGCGTGCTTCAATCAGAAATTCATCCAGCTGCCGGAGTTCAGAAGACCTCTCATGGAGCTTGCCATGATGGGCCAGTTGGGGTTCAGTTTGGCTTCACCTTGTGGAGAGTCAGCGATGAAGTTTCGTTGGAAACTATGCTCTTCGCAGGTGGTTGGAGGATCTTCAGCGTACTCTCGCTGGGGCTAGCGAGGTCACAAATGAATCTTGCCATGCTAAGTCATGCTGGTGGTACGTATAATACAGCTGGTGTGGAGTATGTCGCTGCAGTGTATCAACGTAGGAGAGAAGTGGAAAGGTTGACTGAGTGCCATCTCAATTATGGGCCAGATTAGCAGAGATACGATCAGCACATATTCAACAAATGCCATATTCACATAAAAGACACAGGGGACGTCCCACGAGGACACCGTCACTGGATGCAAGCGACAGAAGGCACGGTCAAGCTGACGCAATGACCTTCACCGGACATGCAAGGTCAATCCTTCTGAAGATCTTTCTGGGGTCAGGGAACGGCTTAGACGCCTTGTCTTGGGTATTCCATCAACTAGCTAGTGGGTATTTTGTTACTACATGGCCCGCAGAAAGGGAGCATCCCCAAGCCAATCAAGCAAGATTACATTTTGCCTGTAGCCGTTCCAACGCGGATTGTTCCTTGTCCTCGCTCTGCACTAACTCATCTTCGAGCTCCTCTATCTTTTTTCTAAGCATCTTGCTCTTAGCTTTGTGTTCCATATAGTCTTCGTATTCCTTCCTCACTCCGTATTTCTTCAAATATTTCCCCACCTGTTTTGCGGGGGGCGTATCACCCAAATCGTCGGCTGCTGGTCGGGGACGCTTGACGCTGGGAGTCAACGGTGTGGACGGCGGCAGGGGAAGAGATTTCGAGGCCGACAGTGGAGAGAGCTTCGATGATGGGCCAGGGGGGGGTTTCTGGCACGGCATTCCCGGGGAATCTGGGTGTGTCAGCATGAGACCACAAGTCAAAGCACAGGTTGACCTAGACCTACATCTTTCCACGTGGTTGCTAGCCTCCACAATCTTCTCCAATGTCTTTTGAACACCATGTCCATGTTGTAACCCCAAGGCTGGGGGCTGGGGGCGGGAGGTGGATGGTGATGGCTGGGACTGGTTACCCGGCGACCAGTCCGTGTCGTCGCGGTTGAGCACAACATCTCGGAATGCTTTATCACGGCGTGGGCTGATGTTGTTTGGCCCATTTATACACCACCTACTCGCCGAAGTCGAGAAGTAGGGCTTGTCCGGGCAGCCAGTGTTGGAAAAATAGGCTGCTAGGGGTGTGGTCTGCTGAGCAAGAGACGCCAGGGGGGTGTTCAAGGAGCCGAAAGAAGGGAGCGTCCCAGCGTTCGGCGTGGTCTGCTGAGCCGGAACGGCAAGAGGTATATCAACGGAGCTGGTCGGAGGCAGTGTCTCAGCGTCCGCAGTCGAGGTTCTCGTCGCCGCTGGATATAGGACTGGCGATGTCTGCTCTATCTTATCATCTGAAGACTCAACCGGGCTAAAGTAGTCCTCGTCTTCGAGGGACAAGGAGCGCTTTGTAGAGCCAACAGACCCGGCTGGCGAAACGGCCATCCTGTTGTGGAGATGTCGTCGCGGACCCGATCGCGGGAATGAAGACTGTGTTTCTGATCAATGGGCTGCAGATATCAGTAAAAAGAAGGCCATTCTAAATAGATGGGTAACAAACCGGAAGCTGGCCAAAGAAGTAGAAGCCTCGATGAACCTATCAGAGAGTGATCGAGGCGCGCGACGGGAACGCACCAGGAGACAATGACAACGGTGAACGGGTCCAATGTAGCGGGGCGATACGTCAAGGCCAATCCAAGTCTTTCGGTCAATTGAATCAGGGTCAAAAGGGAGATGTCATAGGAAGTGAGATGTTGTAGTGCTCCAGATGATGGCTGCGTTGATGGTCAAGACACGAGACGCGACAAAATGATATCCTTGACTGGGTTGGAAGCATTCAGCAGGAAAAGGAAGGAATTCAGGTGACGAAAGCCTATTCCACGGAAACCGTTTGTCTGCCGTTTGCTTGCTGCTACGTCGCGCCTTGTTACACAGCGCGGCGGGGGCAGGACAGTGCCCGCAACCAAGTCATATTGTGCAGACACATCTCCATGCCATGCCCCAAGATGGCAAAGTTAGACCTGAGACGTCATCTCTGGGGTTCGCCGTCTGTCGAAGATGGCCAAAGGTCAGCTCACTGCGTTTTAGATTGTGACAGTGAGTGCATCGAGAAATGGCGTGTCGGGATAGGTAGTCTTGGCGAGCAAATGCCCACTGATGTTCACCCGAGTCATGTGAAGCAAGTGTCGGACGCCAACAAGGCTCTTTCAAGTGAATAGGCAAAGAGGCAAAAAATTAGAGAGAAGTGAGGAAGAGGAGGAGGAGAAGCGAGAGAGAACAGAGCTAATGCAAGAGGCGAGGGGAAGCTCTCTTTTGTTGCTTTTGTCGCCCAGCCTGATCTTGGCAAGAAGTGGTGATTTGCTTCTTCGGCCATGGTGGCGGTGGCTTGTACACACCATCACTCACCGAGTAAATACGTAACATAACATATCCCACCTCTGCCCCCCTTGAGTACGGAGTCGGGACTTGATCAATGCCTAGCCCTCTCCAGGTCCTGTCCTGTGCGAGAAGAACACCCATAGGATGCCTGACGCCGTACGAGTCCGACGCCTGCTATTGTCGAGTTGAACCTATCTCCCAGCTCTATCCTGCCCGGCTCAACGACGAGTTAAGAATCCGTTGAGGCCTAATCCACAGAGACCATGACTGGGGACATACATATAGCGGTTGATACGCTGCCTTCTTTCCCTTCGCTTGTAATGTTTCGTTGCTCGTCCGCATCATACACAGGTCGTTCATACCAACATGGCCCCAGGTCAATTCTACATCACGGGGCATACCCTCATCCCCGGGCATAGAGTCACGTTCAATGTCATTTGGAACCAAGAGAGCGGCCCAAATACCACTGCTGACAACTTCCCTGAGGCCGAGGCTCAAGCCAGGTATCCTGCCGCAGTCTACAACTACTGGCAGAACAGAGGCGGCCGAGGTGATGCTACTGGATATGACCATTATCATGTCTTCAGAGTTTTGGACCATCATTTCGATGACCTCAACGTCCTCTACAAAGTCCAGTGGGAAGGCTTCCCACCGACACAGCCCAACTGCACTTGGGAGCCGTTGAGCAAGTTGATTGACATCGCACCAGAAGCGTTGAGAACGTACCATCGTCTGGTTAATCAGACCCAACAACAACCTACACGACGCAGAGGTGGACGGCAACGAAGGACTGCGAGACCAGCTTCAGTATAGGCGTGGGCTCAGCAGCAGCGACCAACCCAAGAGCCTCCACGTCCGGCCCGACAGACAATGGATCGCGAAGCTAGCCCAGAGATGACTGAGGACCCGGCACAGACCCAAGGCAAGCTCTGAACTCCCCTTCGCGAGGCTATTGACTGGCACCAGAACTTTCAGCTGTAGATATCCTCGTCCATCGCACGCTGGAAGATCGCTCGGCCCAACAAACCCAGCTGTCTACTGCTCCAGAGCTGGACACGACTCAGGGACTGGCTCAAGGTGCGCTCGAGAGGCTCATGTATCAAAGACCAGTCTCTACCCTTGATGGACCTCCGTGAGGAGAGTGCTTCTGACTTTGCCAACCTGATCTGGGGCGGCCCGGGCTGCAAGTCAGCGACACCAACCACCATCATTTCGCAAGATAACACACTGACACGATGCGATTATGTTGGATAATCATTGTGAAATGTGAAAGGATCGAGCCGAGAAAGCGGTCTCTTGATGGGCGAGAGGAATGGATACGACGGATTAAGAGAAGATGGCGCGACTTTGTGGTGATGAATGATAGACAGTAAAAAGTCAAAGAATGAATCTATGCTTTTCTCACGACGCAAGTCTTGTTTTCTGTCTGCTCGCCCAGTGAAAAGACGATGGTGAGCCCGATGCAATACTCCCGGGTAGACAGCTGACCCCAAAACACCAAAACACTCTACCAAGCCCCATCACCGGCAGATAAACAGGTGGCAAAAAAACAACAGAGCAGGCCAGTGGTGCATGACGGCCTAGGCACGGTTTGAACTGAATCATGCTGGATATTCTATTGCGGAATAGGCCGTACATATCTCATTGTTTCAATAAATTGACGAGATGGGAGCTGAGCCCTTGCATATGCAGCCCCCATCAGGCTTCTGCCATGTGCGAAGCTCCGGTGTTGCTGGTAGTTTGAGATCGATACGCCGCATCTCCATGACAGAAGGATCATAGAGTTCTTGATCTCCTCCAGAACAAGGGGATAAACACGGCGATAGCCAGAATCGAGTCAGGGGAACACCCCGCGCGCCCCGTGAGACCACTCTCGCCGTGTTCCCACCCACCCACCTCCCTCCATTCTGAACAGAACGTCTTTAACAGAATGAAGCTGTCGGCTCAGTACTGGTCGCGTCGCTCTGCGATGGTATAACCGAGTCTGAATCTTCTCGATCCACTTCTAACCCTGGTTCTTTAGTGGGAGCTCTGCCAAGGAGGCTGATTGGGCGGCCTCCTCACTGATCGGAGACCCCTATCCAATCAGTGTCCATGGACAAGATGGGCACACAAGATCGAACTCTGATCTCGCACCAAGATCGAATCCCTCCATCCCGGAACGAACGCCTAATTCGACGACGCGACAAAAGCCAGAGGACGCCAGAGTCGTATTCTACCATGTCTCCTCCCCCCATCTTTGGCGCGAGGCCTTGCCTATCCATCTCTCACTCCCGGCACGTCAAAACTCCTGCAGCGTCGGTATCATGAGCCCCCGCGCGGTTCGACGCGATTCTCCTTCTGGGGACAGGCGGCTCTAGCTGCGAACATACAGGAGTTCTCTGCATCACCACCCGCCATCAGTCACCCATCCACCACCGACTTCCCCTGAGCAGACGCATTTCCGCCGACTAGCCCGATGCCACGAACGCGCCGTCCGTCTCGATCTCTATAAACAACAGTAGCCTTTTCCCGGCCACCATCTCGACGAGCCCGGTCTGCACATCGCTTTTCAGTTGTCGTGCGTGTTCTCTGGATTCGTCATGCCGGGCGGACCATGCGAACGCTCCCCGTATGCCCGCCTCAGCCTCCCAGCACTGCCAAAAACATCCAGACACGTTCCGAAGCGAAGGCGGCGTTGTACAAAACGGACGGCTCGGGAATCTCAAATGGCTTTGCAGGCTTGGCCCAGGCCGAGTTTCCTAGTCTTCTTCGGACATGGAGTGGATTATTCCCAGGAAACCGCCATGTCGATCCAAGTATACACTCTTCCACTCAATGGATGGCCTGGGACTTGCTCAGCAGCCACAGGACGGCCATCCACGTGCCCATTCCATACGGGTCACCCACGATATCGAGAACTGACAGACGCGCGATCGTGGTACCCAGTTGAGCACCACTGTGATGTGCTCAGAGCCTCTGGGTGGCCAACTACTAGTCCCTCCAAGGTGAGCGAATATTTTTCCAGTGTCTCTCGCCTCGTCTCGTCACCGATACGTGGCCATGCGGCTTTGAATTGGCCATGGTTCATTGCGCGTCCACTGGGACTACCTCGACGATTATTCACGCTATACTACCGACGACCGATGCACTACAAGTAGCACTCTCTACTCATCTGTCAACTGCAACTTGATTGACACCAATCCGTCATGTCGACATCCTCTGGTATATCCAACCCTATGCACTCCCACGTGCTTGGGCCCGAGCTGGGCCGCACACTCCCAGTTGATCCGTCCGGCGTATTAACAACAATCTCATTCATCCAAGACGTGAACTTGGGCCCTTTATAGTCCGAGGATGCATGACTACCCTGGTCGACATCCATTGCCTCCCAGGATAGAGGCCCTTTAGTCGCCGCATCAATATCCATCTCGTCTACGGCCTGAGACAGCTGTCCACTTCCTTGGGTCTCGTTCTTGCTCGCTGCTCGGGATAACTGACAGCCCTCGTCCATGTCCATTGCGTCTCCGGCAAGGATTATCTCGAGATTGCTCGGGCGAATTGGACCGAGCCTGCAGCTGCTTTGTCGTTTGCCGATTGGAGTCCTCTCTGCACATTCCTCCAGGACGTCATCCATCCATCGAGTGATCCGGGGGTTTGGCCAAAGATTGGAGATGCGCGACTGTGAGGGCCGTGTCGCATACTGGTCGTCCAACAGTGGTTGCCCATGAGGACGAATGTAATGGAGGCCCGGATATCTAACCTGTACAGTGGCCTGTGGGGTCAGCACCGTGTCGAGTGACCTGTACGAGTCTGTTCGAGCCTTCTTTGTCGGTCGTTCGGCGTGTTTTTGGTCGAGGGCTTCTCCTGTGCATGTGTTCAGTGATGTTGTTGTTGTTCAAGGGCCTGACGAGAGTGCATGGTTGACTTACTCTTGCTTCCAACCACTGGGGCAATAACAAAGCCGTCTAGGCTAGATATCCCCAGTTCCGATGTATCTGTGGTGGCTCTCGGGATGTCGGTGTATCTCGCCATGGCGGTTGTCTATCGTTACTATCGTTTCTGGTAGGATTGAGAATAAGCATCTATTCCGTGTGGACGGAGGCATTATGTAGGTACGGAATGTTCTGGTGTCAGTTTGAGTAGGCATAAGCCATGCATTATTGTGAGTCCATCACCACTCTGCCTGGCAGTTGATGCAGCTTGGGCCGAATGTGTTGAATCGCGACGGTGACCATTCTTTGTCGCGGGTAGCCAACTGCCTCGGAAGCAAAGAAAAAAGAGTGCCAAAGACTAGGCTGCGAAGACCTGACTTGGGCATAGGGAGACGACTTGAGTTTCCCCATGGCAGTGTGTGACTCGGGTGCGCGAGGCATTGGGGATGAAGATGTCTGCGACTGGGGGCATGGAGGTTTTGGCTTCTTGCCTGACTGCCTGTCAATCTCGTCACACCTTTCCCCTTGTAATGCCCCTTTGACAGTCCCGACCGTGACATACAAGAGTCGCTGTCAGAGCCGTTGAATTGACCTTGGCTTGGGACATAGGCCATACTATGCTCATGATTCTTGCCGTGGAACCCCCCCTCCCCCCAAGGCGAGAAAACCTTCTCTCGCCTGGTCTGACTGGTAGCCGAGGAAGCAAATCCACGCAAATCGCCATGACACTTGCAGTCTACTCCGGGCCCCATAGTTAACTTGTGGATGCATGGCCTTGCACATCTAAAGAATGCTCAATTTGCACAATATTCCCAAACACTTTGCTTGACCTCCTTGTCCTAACTCTGTACTGTACTGTACTGTAGCTGTAAATTACCCGGCCATCTTTGACGCTTGAAGGTTTCGTTTGCTCGTACGCTAACCCCCCTGCCAGGCTCCCCTGCAGCGTCCCATGCAGGCATGTTTCACTGAAACACGGCATGGGAAGACAGTGGACACGCCCCAAGTTTTCTCAGATAGTTATGACGTGCCTGGAGCGGGGTGGCCCAGGGCATTTGTGGGTGTGCTCAGAGCCGTTTGCTATGATTGCTTCTGCTGTTGCACATTTGGACCATTTATTGATGGTATGGCGGTATGCGAAAGCCCGTGGCCCCCCTCCCCTCATCCGTTTGACGGGAGCTCGCTATTTGAGGCTTTGGGAAAGGGGCCATGCCTGGCGATATAATGGCGCTGCTGGCCATACTTCCAGAACCAAGTTCCCATTGCCATCTTCTCTTCGAGCACAACCAGTCCTAGCTCTGACCATTCAATAAGGCTCGAGAATATCTGCATCTCAAATGCCCAACGTTGTCATCTGTCAAATCTCCAAAACGTCATACCCGTAAGCTTCAGTACGCTTCACCCACCTTGACTCATTCACGCAACACTTCTTGGCCTGCTTTCAACATCAACGATCCAACATGTCGTACCAAGAGTCGAACCAAGGATCCTCTCACGAGCAAGAGTCTAAGAAAAGGCGGGCCACAATAACATTATCTTGGCTAGGACTCTCGCCAATATCTCATACCTGAAAGACAAGTTCGTGGACGGGAAGTGGCACCCTGAGAAGTTCCACCCCAGTAACATGACAGACTCAAATATCCATCGCTCAGTGAGAGAGATTGTGGAAATCCTTCTAGAACACAAGGTGCCACTCAACGTCCTTTGGAGGGAAAATGGCTATTTCCGCGTGGCCATTGACAGGTTCTGTCAGCGTGGAAGACCCAAGTTGACAGACACTGTTGGGCTATCTGTGTTGTGGTTTGTCACACAAAAGTTCAAGAACTCCCAGGACACATGGAGGATTGAGGAGGACACAACGAACTACCAAGACTTTGACAAGATTGTCGGGAAAAAAGACAAAGCAGGCGTCATCAATCCCGGCGGAAAAGTCCTTGAGCCGGAGATGGTGATGGTGACGAGGCAGACAATGAAGAGTATCATGAAAGACTCCCCATTGCCATCGTCAAGCTTGGGCAATCAGAGCGACGCTGCACGGGGCAGTCAGGGCAATCAAGTTGCCAACAACGGTGAAGCCGTTCATGCCAGCCAGCAGAATAGCGAAAGAGAGGGAGAGGCACAAGACGACGGGGACAGCCAAGGCGACGGGGACAGCCTGAGCACAGTCAGCCCCCAGAAATCGAAGAGAAAACGCCTCGAATCCTTGGGCGATGATGACGAGAGCCGACCGAGCCAAGAGGTGGACGAGATAGACAAATTGGCACAGGAGTTGGGCGCCAGCGACGAGGCCCTAGCGGAAGCCAACAAGCTCCTAGCAGAGCGACAAAAAAAGCAGGAAAGACTGGAAAGGGTGATCGCGTCGATAAATGAGGAGATCTCACTGGCTGCAGTCGAAGCAGAGCTGCTCACTTGGGCCGTGGGTGCCAATATTATCACGGATCCAACCTCACAGGCAAGCACCCCAGACGGGGAGTTGAGGGCATCCCGTGTTGAAAATCGCCGGCAAGATCTTGGCCTCTACACTAATATGTTAGAGTTCGTCGAGAGGGAAGAGCATGGGCTTCTGATCCAAGTCGAGGAACTGGAACAAGAGAGGCAGGTGTTGGAGGAGGAGCGGTGCGAAATGACCGAAGCCCTCATGACGCAATTAAAGCAATGAGGAATCTTCTCATCGTCGCTCCGAGATTCCGATGCCTGTTGGTTTAAAACTAGAGATTGCAACGAGGATGGATTGACGGATGGATGTTGGGTGCCATGGTGGTTTCTGGTCAAAAAAGAACTGAAGCGTCCGGGCACTGGGTGGGACCTGTGATGGAAATGTTCATGGACGAGCCCATCCTATATCGTGCTGCACTCTCGTAAACTCACAGCAGGCTTGAATCAAAGGATAACCAGCTTTGTTATTGGGCAGTGTTGTCAGGATGATGCAACAAAGAAGCACTCAGATACACAGCCTTTGTATACACGAGACCCGGCGAATGGCGGGGGCTAGTAGAGGAATGAATGTATTCATAGTTGAATCTTCTCCATGACTGCATGTGAATTATCTCCGGGCGTCCTAGGGCCGTGAACTCCAATGTGCAGAGCACAACGCGCGCTGGAAGAGGGCCATGCCCATGCTCCAAGTCGGCAGTCTCACCGACGAGACAAAGCCCTTGGGCAGTTAGGCACGTGAACTTGATAGGTTGCCTAAGGTGCTTAAACCAGAAGAGCAGCAAGTATCCATGCAATTGATAAATGCTGGAAGTGATACCTCGTTGTCGACGTGCGGCTATGGACGCGTGCCTACAACCATGATCGTGGTTTGCCCTGAATCCTCGAACAAGTACCTAAAGACTATTAGACTTACTGTGTGGTAGTCTACCTTCCATATAAAGAGAGTGACTGTAGCTCGTTGGCGAGCGAAACTACACACTCCCACCAAAAGGACTGGGTAGGTGGATACCGCTGTGATTGGGGACAATGACTGCCACCAACGCCACGCTCAACGGAACAGTCACAGTCCCAGTAACGGCTTCTTGTGGCAAGTATAGTAGTAGATATCTCCCTTGGTCGTGGCCACAGATCAAGCCAGGAATACTCTACGATCCCATCATGTTCGTCACTTTCTAGCTCCTGATTCTGTACCTTTGATGATGCCCTCTCTCGACCGCCATCATCACCCCTACGCACCCGTTGATTCGGCCCTACTTTCACTACCCAGCATCCTAACTAAGTATGTACAAATGGACGGTATACTAGACTAAGAGTCTTGCATCACAGATACTGTCTCCGAGTAATTGGGTCTTCAGTGGCGTCCTGTCCTGTGCATTCTCGTCGGCGCCATCTCCCCAGGCCTAGATGACACACACGCCAATTGTTTCGTGCTCAGAAGTCTCCATTCCGGAAGTACTATGATTGAAAGGCTATTTCACTCATTTCCTCCACGTTAGCAATCAATAAGGGCCACTGCTAGTTTATTCCTGGGTCGACGCCAGGGTTTCTTCCGGCCTTTCACCTGTCGCCTTCATGTGGACCATCACATCCCGATGGCCGTATGTCTTTGACCATACATCACTGAAGATATGATTTATGAATGGAACCCAGAACTTCGGTTTGAGCGGCCTTGGTTTTGATCGATGCCCAAGCCTCCCATTCCGTCACCGTTCACTATCACCCTAATCAACTATGGCCTGTATTACCGGAGGCTTGCCTCAAGAAAGTCATATTGGGGCCCGGCTTCTTTTTATCGTTACACCTACCCGTGAAATATATAGAGGCCACGCATTTGGCCCCGGATGTTTGGCATGGCCTACATTTCTTGTATTTCTCCTCAACGTTTCATGGACTCTGACAAATCTAACGATTCATCGGATAAGAGCCGAAACCCTATTTTGACTGCGATTCGGTCGAATAGTGTAGCAACTTTGCAGGTCAGTCAGCATGAGGTCTAGACTACACCGACCTAACCTTGTAATGGCAATTTAGCTGACAAAACTTGTAACATTCCATGATAACGTTATAACATAGCCTATGCAGGGCACAGACTATCCTGATATGCTGTACTAATATCATCTCTGCTATCCTGAACCATCATATCCCATCTATCCTTACTTCTCCCATCATCCCTGTCACAGAACGTGCTTGAGGTTAATCCCTCTCAACATCTTCAATCTCACCTCTGCTATCAGACATGGCCAGCATAAACTGGTCCCTCCTCTGAATAGACCGTTAGCAACACAACCACCATCAAGAACTCTCCCCTCGATACTTACGTGGTCCGCAAGCTGCTTGACCTCCCGCCTCGCACGCGTAGCCAGGTGTCCCACATCCATCAGCTTCTGCGCTCGCTCCTCCTTGGAGAGACTCTTGGCGCTCGGGAGGCTGAGTCGGTCGATGTTCTCCACCGCAGGTATGATGTGCTGGGACGAGACCTCGGTGTACGTATCTGCCACAGCCCGCGCGACAAGGTAGTGCCCCTTGAGCTGCAAGGCCTTGAGTCGGAGTTCCTAGCTAAGTTAGAATTCTAGCACGAGGATGTCCGGTGATAGTAACGAACTTCAAGCTTCCCCTGGGCAACCTTCTCCTTCTTCATCCTCATGGCTTCGGATTCCTGAGCCGCCGCGCGTCTCTTCATCTCGAGTGTGGTAGTTGCTACCGTTTTGATGGGGTTGACGCGGTACTTGTCGATATCTTCGACGTAGCCTTGCACCGAGGTAAAGAACGAGGTTAGCTGGTCGAGTTTGTCACAGAAAGCTTGCAGATGCGTAACGCATTCTCCGACCACGTTCTTGACCTGTGACTAGATGGTCTGTTAGTCTCACAACATGAATGACAGAGTTTCTGGCCATACTAAGGTGACATTGGATGTCAAGAGTTCCTGGAGATTCGCCTCCATCATCTTGAACTCCTCGGTAGCCTTCATATCCTCCTCGAGCCGCTTGTTGAGCCTCGTCTCCGCGTCAAACAGCTCCTGCTGAGCCATCCTGAATCTTTCAAAGCGAATCTCAGCTCGGGACATCTCTAGGTAGGGAAACCAATGTCAGTAGGGCTTCTTCAAGTTCTGCTACGCTGCAACTTACTTGTCGTCCGGATCCGCTCGTCTCTGCGCTGCACAAAGTTAGTACACTCCTAGTCCTTGTAGAAATATGTGGGGTCCAGCTATACTTCTCTCCTTTCCGCCTCGCGTTTCTTCTCGAGCTCTACGCCGGACCTGATGATGCTGAGGAGTGCAGTCTCGGCTCCTTGCACCTCTGCACGCCACTGGTTGGCGGAATCTTCCACGAGCTTCTCTGTGTCCTCTCCTACATTGCGCTCACCTCGTAGAATGTCACGAATGGTGGCAGCAATCTATCCAAAACTGGAGTCAGCCTTCTTGGTTCGTCAGTAGGATCAGGCAACGCACCGTCTCTGCAGGCTTGACGGCCTTGCGAGCCTCCTCAACAACTGCCGAATGCTCCCTCCCATAATGATCCAGGTGCTCCATAATGGCGTTATGAATGCTCTTAACGTTGTCCCTCCTGTCAGCCCTTCCGGCCAGGCGCTCCCAGTCGACCCCGCGGAGACGGTCGGGACCGTTTGTGAGTAGCTGGCCAAGTCTGTGGACGACGTGCCAGAGTCTATCAGCAAGCACATAACCAGCATCTTGCTGTACCGGTTGGTCGTAGGACCCCGGAGCATAGTACGCGTCGTGGCTGTCCTTCTGGTGCTCAGTGCTGTTGCCGAAGCCGAGGTTGAGATTGATGCCGGCAAGGGGGTTCATTAACGCCTTGAAGCTGTGGACAATGGCGTCGCCCGCAGCGACTCCAAAGTCGGTCCATGCACCTGGGCAGAGTTATCAGGCTTGCTCTAAGAGTAAATGATGGTTGTAGGATTGCTGGCTCACCCCTTGACTGAGACTTTCTCGCTTTCTCAAACTCCTCTTCTCGATTGCCAAGCTGGCGGCGGTACTTTTCTGTCTGAGCCTCAACGGTCTTGAGAATCTCTTTCTTCTTCTGCACGGCGTTCTTCTTGTCCTCGATCTGGCCGTCCAGTTCAGTCTCCCGGAAACCGAGAGCCTCTGATGAGTCAATGTCAGTGAATGAATCTATTACTGCAGGGGGTATTCACATACCATCCTGGTCAACGCAGGCGCGATGCACCAAGGTGGCAAACTGACGCCAGGCATCAACCTTTTCTTTGATAGCCACGGTATGGGAGATGCAGTCTGTGGAGGCAGCTTTCAGTGCGGTGAGCTGGTCGGGGAGGTCCAACTCTGCGAGGTCTTCATCGTCCACGGCCTCAAGCACCATGTCAACCTACACAGAGTGTCAATCAGGGATAAACTGCTATAGTGTGTATGGAGAGATCCTTCGCTTACGATTCCACCCGGCTCGCATACTGCTTCAGCAATGCTCGACACTCGTTTCATCCTCTCCTCCGCATTGCGAAAGGCCTTCCGACCGAGATCGGAGCAATGGATGAGGTTTGTATTGAGAGATCGATACCTAGCATCATCAACTTTAAGCAGGCTCCTTGCAGACTCTTCAATAGCAACGGAAACTCACGGTAGCCCCGCGCTGTCTGGAAACACGAGTGAAGAGGCCAGGGGATCGGACGCGAGGACAAAGCATTGTCCCAGGCGCCCGAGTGCATCGGGAGCGGCGCTCAGCATTGCGCCCCAGTTCCCTTCGCTGACCTGGAGAACATCCTGAGCGATGGAATTAACAAATAACTCGGAGCCAGCCACGGTCTGGACAAGGCGGATGAGCTGACGACTCTGGATTGAATCGTCGGGCTCAAATCCGTACTCCTCAGAGTCTGAGGCTTCCAACTCCGGGACTCCAGGGTGTTCTATGGTTGTTGTATTGTTTTCGTCCATGATTGCAGAAAAATGATGGGTGGATCGAGATGGAGTAGAGCCGAGGCCAGAACCGTATGAGGCTTTTATCTTGGGTTGCCCTCCAAGAATGCCTTGTGCAATTGCGCCATGCTCCTCAACAGATTTTAGGCACCTAACCACAGTGGCTGAGCCAATTCAGCCAAGAAGGCATTATTGCACTTTCATGTCTTATGGCGAGACCTGGACCAATATCAGGAGACTGGCTTGACGCCACGATTTTCAGCTCCCCGACGCCCCGGTCGTATCGTCTACTGAGAAAATCAGGCTGCCACTCTCATGGCATGTCACTGGGGACAAGA